GCCCCGGCTGCGCTCGGGGCTGGGTGCTGAGCCAGTCCCCAGCCTGAGCTGGCTGCAGTGGCCCATGGTCCTGCTCTCTGTTGGGGAGCTATCAACAGAGCCAGGGCAGGACTTCCTGGCCACCTGGCAGAGCGGTTTGGGGAAGTCCAGGCTGCTGGTCCGCACGCAGTACGCCTGCCGCTTCTCCGTGATGCGCAGCAGCTCGATCTGCCGGCTGGGCAGGACGAAGTCGCTGTCATAGAGCTCTGGGGGTGGCCGGGGCTCCTCTGGAGCTGGCGGTGGCAGTGGTGGGGTCTTCAGCTCGTGGGTCTGCAGGACGTCTGGGGCACTGTCCCGCAGGGAGCGGGCGACTCTCCGGCTGCAGCACTCGGGCCCCGAGGAGGAGGAGTAAACCAGGTCCAGCTCCTTGGGGCTCTGCGCCCTGCTGGAGTCATAGTCGCTGTCAGTAGCCAGGAACACCTCTGAGGAGCCCTCCTCATCTGACAGCCCATGTGAATCTGCCAGGGGTGTAAGAGAAGCAAAGAAGGGCTCAGCCTTGCTGTCAGCAACACCAGTTCAGGGTCAGAGGGTTCACACCAGTCAGTCAGAGGAAGCCCCTGAGCACTCCCCCTTGTCACACACCCGTGCTGCAGTCACCCCAGCACAGGCAGAGCAGGTCCTGCCCTAGCCCCACTGCCCTGCCCACGCTGCACCCCTGCCGTGCAGCTCTCCCATCCCACCCAAGCCTGCCAGCGGGAGCTTTGCAAAGCCAGGTCCTCACCAGAGTTGAGCTTACGGCTGGTCTCTGGTGAGGGGGCTGGGGAGGGCAGGTAGTCGAGGTGGGACGAGGTGGATTGGGTTTTCTCCTTCATCACTGCACTGGCCTCGCCGAGGAAGCCACCGAGGGAGATGCCGCAGGGGGGCTGCTTGTACCGGGCGTGCTGCAGGGCGTCCATGATCCAGCGCATCTCACGCCAGATCTCCTCCATTTGCTGCCAAGACAGGAAACGAAGGATCCGTTTCAAAAAGCAAAACAACAAAAAAAGGCCCACAGCAAACCACAGGCTCTCCCCACACACCTTTGCCAAGAGAGGAAAGCTCTGGAGGAATCCCCAAGTCAGGAAAACCTAAGACAGCGCTCTCAGGTGGGAACATGCTGCTTTGACCACCAGCAGTT